AGGTCCAGCCGGTCCTGGAGCTCTGCCGGGGAGGGGGCAGCCACAGCTTCTCTGGGCACCCTATGCCAGCGCCTCAGCACCCTCCCAGGGAAGAGCTTCTGCCTCAGAGCTCATCTCAATCTCCCCTCTTTCAGTTTAAAACCCTTTATGTGTAGATGCTGTGGCACTAGCTGGGAGGATGTTTCTCTCCTATGAAGCAAGGAGGGGACATAATACAGTGGTGGATCCTAACAGGATCCTAACAAGACACTTGTCTTGTTCTCTTAGTACGTGTGTCTGATCTCTCCCATCTGCAAGTGTAAGCACCCACGCAGTGTCCTCTTGCTCTAAGATTGTTTAATATTAAAGTCATAGTGAGGGGCCAGGTTAACACCAGCTAAAACTCTCATTAAACAGCCAGATTATCTTTCTCCCATTTAAAGAATAACATGAACACTAACAGATCATCCCTCCTCAGTCTGCCTGCAGCCTGCAAGCACCTCCCTGCCGGCAGCAGGTCCTTGTGTGCCATTTATACTATTGCACATCAACCTTAGAGTCCCTGGAGGTGCAGCCCTGGCCACAGCATCCTGCTTCGATTCCCAGACTTTTGAGGATGTGTTTAAAGCTCCACTCTCCCCAGAAGCAGAGACCCTCAGGAAGTGGAGCAGGGATTTGGGATCAGGGGTTTGGGAGCAGGAGAAGGGGAGGTTTTGCTGTTGCTTCTGTAAAGAAAGGAGGTGGCCGAGATGAAGGAAACGCTGGTTTGCACTTTGAATCCTTTCTTCCCGGTGGTGGTGCTCCTGCCTCTGCGCTGGTTCTGGTCCCTCTCCCCATCCCTGGCCATCAGCGAGCTGTGGCAAAGCCAATGCGGTTGTTGCGACGGTCAAATTTGGTGTAGTAGTGCCCAATGAAGCTGGCGCCCAGGATCCAGAGAGGACCAGCTGGAGGTGGGATGTCCAGCCCTGAGAAAGCCACCATGCAGATGTCCTCCCCATACTGGGATTGCTGCAAAGAGGAGACCCACACAGTGATGGAGGTGTCAGGAGGAAGATCTCTGTGATCGCCAGCTCAACCCCCTCTGCTGGCCTTGACATTCCTTCCTCCAGGAAGATCCCTGCCTGTGTCACCCCAAATCTCCTTGGAACCACCCAAGGAAGCAGCGACAGGTTTGTCTGGCTCCTCCAAACAGGAGGGTTTGGGGAAAACCAAGAAGCATCATTCTGGAGTTCATCTTGTGGGGAGCCAGGAGGGTGCAGCTCTGAGATACACACAGAGGATGCAGCTTACCCGAAGGATGTAGGCTGAGCCGCTGAGCCCAAAGGCCTTCCCACCCAGGTGGAAGGAGATGTTGGGCAGCTGAGGGACTTGGTCACAGTCCACCACATACTGCGGGAGGAGGAGACAGTGCTGAGCTCATGTGATGGGATCGGGATGGGTTGGGGTACAGGCAGCCGAGGGTAGAGGCAGTGGGGACATGGAGTGGGGTGTTGGGGGGTTACTCACTCCTCCTTCAGCCATTTCTGCTGCCCCAATGGCTTTCATCAGCACAGAGATGGGGCCAGCAGGGCCGGTGATGTAGGATGCTCCCGTGTCGACGGCGGCTGAGCAGCCATCCTTGCAGAACAGCATTTCAGCCCCCACGGACACCCTGGAGCAGGAGAGGGGAGAGGAGCAACCCTGAGCCTCCCATAGTGACCCTGAGCCTCCTATGGTGACCACAGCTTGGCTCCCAGGAGCATGGGTGAGTGTGCCACATCTTTGTCCAGGGAATGCTGGCAGGCAGAGCTTATGCTGCTCCCAAAGTACAGCCTCCAGGGGCACTGGGAACCCTCCCTTCAAGCTTCTCGGATGTGAAAGCTAAGCTTCATCATGTGTGGCTTTCATGTGGTTGAATTCAACAAAGCAGAATTGTTTCAGTGCCTCACACTCCTCCTGCAGGACTAATGGGGGTTAAACTCTCCCACTGTAAGCTTCCAAGTGGAATCAGCGCACGATGCCACCCCCTCTGCATTCCCCAGCTCCTGACTGAGCACCGAGATGCGGCTCGGTGCTGGAGGAACCAACCCCACTCCCCTCTAGAGGGATAAGCATCCACTAGGAAAACACATCTCTATGGACCACCTTCCCCAGCATCCAGGAGGCCTTTCCCAGCCCAGCCAGGGATTGCAGGATGAGGCCTGGTGCTGTGTAGAGGCGTTCCCTGTGCTCACCCCTTCATGCTGATCTGCCAGTAGCCACTCTTGCTGACGTTCAGGTAGTGGAAGTCCCCAGTGTAGTAGGCTGGATCACTGCCTCCGAGGATGATTTCACCTCCGGGTTTCAGAGCAGCATTCCTAGGAAGCAAAATGCAGTGGAGCGATTCCCCCTCAGCTGCTGCTCCCCAAAAAACAGGGAGAAGGGACCAGCCTGACCCGCAGAACAGTGGTGGAGAGCAAGTTGGAGCAGAAGAAACCCCAAGTTAGTTCAGAGGGATGCAAGGAGAAGGGGTGCCACATGCTGAGGTCTCAGAGCATGTCAGTGCTGGCTCCTGCAGTGTGCAAACTCCTATGGACCCCTGGTTTAGCAGGAGTGGGGTCTGCTGCCCGGTTACTGTTAGTGGGTGCTGTCCCAAGAGTGCTCATGCTTTTCATCTTCTTACTTTGAAGCTCTGCAAAGAGAGGGATGCTCCGTAAGCCTGTAACTGTGTCAGTGGGTGCCAAGGGGACCCAAGCAGCACCCAGACAAGGCTGCAGTGGCAGCCAGCATCGTTAGGCTTTGTTTGCCTAATCCCCCTTTAGTAGAGGTAAAGAGCTGCTGAGCCTGCTCTAAGCATGGGGTTGTGGGTCTGGCTGTCATTGCACATTGCCTGGCTGATGTACCTGTGCCAGGACCAGCCCTCCTGCTGTATCTGCTGCTGGGAGGGGGGATGCTGGGGCACAACAATTTGGGGCAAGAAATGAAAGGTTTGGCTGCTGGTGCAGGTGTTTCTGCAGCAGATTTTGGGTGTTTTTCATTCTGCCTGTAGGCAAGACACTAAATCCATCCTGGCTGTGATTGCTCCAGCTCCTCCAGCAGAGCTGGTGATTGCGAACCCGACAGTGACAAATGAGTGTGGAGCAGCAGCTCCCAGCCCCGGCAGCTCCAGAGGAGCACGCACATGGCTCTGCCTCTTGTGCTGCCTCATTCCACCCCAGCTCCTTGAGGTGCTCATGTCCTCCCTCCTGCGCTCATGTCCCTGTGCCCATGTCCTCCATCCCACCTCAGACCCTGTAGCCCTGTAGTCATAGTGTTGTCCTAGTCCTGAGATGCAAACCCATGGTTGCAATGCCCATGCCCTGCAAAAACCCCCACCTCCCCCTGCTCCCCACAAGCCCCACCGGCTGTAGTAGACAGAGAACACATCCTCCTTCAGGATCTGCTGGGAGAGGATCCGGTCGAAGACAGGGGTGATGCCATCGATGGCCTGGCTGGGGTAGCCCATCCCCAGGACCCCATCGAACCTGGCAAAGATGAAGGGGAAGGCCGGCAGCACCGTGGCCTCAGCAAAGACCTGGATGATGGGGATGTCTGATACCTGGGAAGGGCAGGATTGTTCTTGTGGCTGGGGTGGGTTAATCCCCCCAAAAGCACCTTTACTCTTGGGTAATTGGCGATGATTCTATAGGGGACAAGAGCCACATGTAGGCATCTCCTTGCTGAGGCGACACACTTACCATGACGATGTCCTGGCTCAGGAAGCCTTTGACACTCCCTGTCCCATAGCGGATAGCAAAGCCTGTGCCATTGGCTATGTACGTCCGTGACTTGGAGGAGTCGTAGCGGCTGTGGGAAACTGGGGAGAAGAAGGGGCACCAGAGAAAGCAATGGAGGTGGCAATGACACAACCAGCTCTGTTCCCCCAACCCCTGTGGGGTGATGAACCCACCCTGCCCCAGTGCCAGGGGACTAGACAGCAACAGAGACACCCTGTGCAAAGGCAGATCCAGTCTGAGCTGGGATCTCTTGGGATGGAGGGAGTTGCCCACCTTTACC